CACTTGATCTGTTCTAAGCTCTCAATGAAAGCACCAAATGATAGAGTATTAATTCTAGAGAGAAGTGAGAGCTAGAGAGAGAAAGTGAGTAATTATATTTCTCAATTTTTAGCCCCCTATAATTAGCCCCTTGGGGTCTATTTATAGGAAAAGATGTAGATTTGGGCCCCTAGCCTTGGGCTTAGGAGGCCCATTACAATAATCATGCCTTCTTTGGGCGAATAAAGGCCACTAATGGGCTGAGTACAACACTTAGTACAAAAAATAGGAAAATACATTCTGCCCGGACGAAGTCCGGACGATGCGGTCCATGGACGATGCGGTCCATGGACGATGCGGTCCATGGACGACGCGGTCCATGGACGACGCGGTCCATGGACGATGCGGTCCATAAAAATCGGGCGATACCTTCTCTCTTGGACGCTACGCGCCTCTGGGCGATGCGGGTGTTCCGCTGGTGTCTTTTTGGGCCGTTGAGTATGCGGGCCATGGGGTCCAGGCCCATATACTCTATCACATACATAATAGGAAATTCACCCTATCACCGGTACACACTCCAACAACAAGACCTAACAAGATATATTCAAATAATAATTAATTTAAAAAATACCAATTTTTTTTTTTAATTTAATAGTCATAAATAAAAGTATCTCACCGATATCGGAGCTACGGAACCTGTATAACATAATGTTGGAGTCACCTCTTGATGCATAATCTCATCCATCTTCTTTTTTAAGTTCTTCTTCAACTGCTTAAGAGACTCCATAAATGCCCATGTACCCCATGGAAAGTCTAGATAGTAGCTACCGACTTGTGCAATGATCCAATCAGGAATGGAATGGTCTCTCTTGATAGGGGATAAAAGAACCATCACTATAAACACAAGTGATGCCATTCTTATCACTTCAGACCGTGCTTAATCCTTTTAAGCTTTATCATGATGATTTAAATGATTACAAAGTTGGTGAAAACGTTTTAAAATCGTGTTATAACTAACTTTATCTCGATTTCCATCACGAAGAACAGAAGGCCAATGGGTATCAATAAAATTTTCCCTATCATCCACATCATAATCATTCTCAAAATTGTCTTTGTCTAAAGAAGTGCAGTTCAACCCACTAATTAAAGCAAACTCCTTTAGAGAGTAGCGAATTGGAACCCCCTTCATCACAACCCACACCTCAGAAGTTCTCTCAATATCTGCTATTCTACCAAGTAAAGGCCACATAAGGATGGATGTAGGGACATATTGCACGTCTAAGTACTTGCCAAATATAGTGGACCTAAACTCATTCAATATGTCGGGATGATCACCTAACCAACTCTTCATTTGTGCTTGAAACTTTGTCAATGAACTTTTTATTGTAATTTTAATGTTTGGGAAGAGTGTAATGTCAACCATCGGAGACATAGATGGAACCTGAACAAAATAATCATGAATACATGTTCTAATTATTAATTGTCAAACATGGTCGAACACAGTCAAACAATGTAAAACACGGTAGAACAAGGTAAAAAAAAAACAAAAAAAACAGGGTAGAACAAGGTCAAACACATTAATTTCAATTCAGTAAAAAATGAATCAATCTTCGTCAAACTTGTTCAAACAAAGTCAAACAAATTCAAAATAAGAACAAAAAACAATTAATTAGGTTGGGATGAATAGGTAATTACCTTAATTTCTTTGTTTAGAGAAAAACATTCAACTTTTGAGGATCCTCAACAACAACCTTATCTCGGTGAATTTCTTTACTCTGCTTTGAGTCCGACTTCTTCAGAAGATTTTTAGCAGGGCTAATTTCTCCCAATTTTACCAGCATACGCTTACGTTTAGGCTTATCTTCTTCAATCATTGGAATTGTAGGGTTCTTGACCTTCATGATACTTGAAGTGGCACGGTTGCCGCCAATGTTGAAGGAGGAGCGTTTTAGAATGATGAAAGATGGAAGGAGAGGTGGCACGTTTGGCGCTAAGGTTCGAAGAGAAGTGCAAGAGAGTTTGAACCAGATTGACCTTGTTCTAGCTGTGAGGAAGAAAGAATGAAGAGAGTTGTGCGTTCGGTAGCTTTGGAGGAGGAGTCTCGATATTTTGGAAGAAGAGTTGGAAAGGAGTATTCAAACTCTAGGTTTTAGTAAAGGTTATTTAGTAATTTCATAAGTTTCTTTATTTAAAATAGAAAAGGGGCATTTTGATAATATGGTTTTGAAAAGAGGGTATTCTCAACCCTAAGCCCGAATAAAAAAACTCAGCGAGAAAGGGAAACCGCAACGAGAGGATCGGAGACTCAATCGGCCAGAGGGATTGGAGATTTAATCGGCCAGAGGGATTGGAGATTCAATCGGCCAGAGGGATTGGAAATTCAATCGGCCAGAGGGATTGGAGATTCAATCGGTCAGAGGGATCGGAGACCCAATCGGCCAGAGGTAAACTGTAGCGAGAAAGGGACCGGACACTCAATCGGCCGAAGGGAGACTTAGTCAGAGAGAAGGGTGACACGACCAACTACAATGGGTGACTCAATCGGTTAGACTTGTTAGTAATTTTGATATTAATTTCATCTTCTCTTTGTTTGAATGTTGCGTTAAAACTTCCTAGCAAAACGAAGGGATTAGAGGTGACTTTAAATATCCATTTTCTTGGTCATATATGCTATCTGATTTTTATATTTTTTATATAACCTTTGTTTACTCAAATTTATTTATTTTAATGACTAGTTTATAATGAGTTATTTGTAAATGATCAATTTTTAATTTGTGAATCAAGTAACTAGTGATATTTTGTCTATTAGTGATGCCCATTCAAGTACTACGTGTAGAAGCTAGAAGTTGATGATTTTTTACAGTACTAAGCATTGCTTTTGAATCAATACTTGTTTATATTAAAACAATTAGTTGGTGTTTGTTTGCAGATTCTAATTAAACCGAACCAGAAGGATCTCTTAGAGCAATTTGAGACATGACTGTAGAAGTGGTACACCCTACTTCTTATTTGGTTCTATGTATCAAAATACTCACAAGGATGTCTCGGTATAATAGCTTCTTAACTTTGGTGCTACGACCATATTTTTATGGATGATCTTTTATGTTGGTTTTTTAAGTGTTTTGAAAACCTATTAGTGCTACTTTGAACTATAAGTCCCTTTCTCTGTGTTCTTCCCACCTGCAGGAAACACTTATATACTACTCTGTACTATTTTAGCCTTTTTCTGTAGTTTTAGTTTAATGTTTCTATGCTTCCATTGTTTAGGTCATTACTTGGTTTATTTCGGGCTTGAGCTCTTAAATTTGAAGTTATTCATGTAGTTTGTATTGTGATTGATTTTTTGACCAATTTATCGCGTGACTTTGAAATATATGTTGGATGTTGCTTACTTGCTTATGGTGTTTTTATTATTGTGTTCATTTGTTTGAGGTAATAAGATAACTATTTCATTGTGTTCATTTGTATGAGGTAATAAGATAACTATTTCATTGTGTTCATTTGTTTGAGGTAATAAGATAACTATTTAAATGTGTTTCAGTTTAAAATATCATGCCCAACTTATTAACTTTTAACATATCATGCACAACTTATTAACAAAGTTATTTTGTTAAGATTATTCATGAGACAATTGGTATACTAAGCTAGTCGGAGGTGCAAACTATACTACTCTTAAGTGAGGAAGCATTAACTTCTAGTGTAAATAAGTACTTGATGAATGCTTAAAGATGTTTAAGATGATGAATGTTGTTTTAGCTGAAACAGAGAGCAGTATAGACCTTTCCCAGAACTAGTTAACAATTTTCCCGTCAGCTCCAGATTATTTGTTCTACAAATTCAGAAAGTATCATTTCTGTTTCTCTTTCTATCCATTTATTTATTCATTCATTTCTTATTGATAAACAGAGGCCACTTGAGTCTACAATAAACAATTACTCTTTGTTTTATGCAAAAACAAAAACTAGTTGACAAGTGTTTTGGCAGATTGTATATACTAGCTGCAATTGCAGACTTTAGCAGGTGGTTTTTCTAAGTTTATTGAGAATGAGTTTTGCATTAATTTTTTTCATTCTACTATACTTTCGTTAACATCTTTTCTAAAGCTGTTAAACTACTTATATACGGAGTATAATTTACAATTTGCTAGGTTGGCAAGGTGCATATCAAAGAGCAAGATGATGAAGTTAATGAAGATGAAGAAGAAGTAGAATCTCTCCAATTTAATGTGTTTTCTTGAAGCTATTGTATATATCTTGTTATCTCATAATGTTTTAGTAGCTCTAGTTAGTTCGGTTTTCACATACAATAGTACTCCGTATCATTTACGGGGATGTTGCCGATTAGATTCTACAAACTACATTCAGTTATAAAAAGTAAATTTAATTCGATATTCAGTGCAATACTCTAAAGAATGTGTCACTTTTGTGAGTTATTTATATTAAATTTTAGTGTATATTATCATTTGTTAAAGTATATGAAATTTGGCATAAAATATAATAATAGCCACGAAATGCATGTTATCTAATTAGTTCAAGCAATATATAATAATGCCTCCAATAGTATTTTAAGTCTTTAAATATGGATGACTCTAATAATATTTTGACACAACATAATATGGTTGCCTCTAATGACATTTTGAGGCGGAAGAGTATAGTTGTTTCTAAATATATCTTGTTAGAGGCAAAATAATTTTTGCCTCTAAAGGGTCTTTTAGAGGCAACCAACATTTTGCGACAGACTATTTGTTGGCAACCACTAAATTGCCCCAAAAAAGCATTAGAGGCTCTTTGCTATGTTTAGAGGCAAATATGATATGCCTAGCTCTACAAGTCATTTTTATTGTAGTGAGACTCGTAGGTAATAGGTCATGAACTAGTCATGCCTTACCTCAAAAGTAAGTGCACCAGTTCATTGCCTTACCTCAAAAGTAAATGCACTCGAAGGGACGACGTGAGCTGCATGAAAATGGAGTAGGAGACACCTGAGGTGTAATCAAACACAGGCCCGACAACATCTAAGAGTAAATTAAACATGGGTTTAAAGCCATTTATGAACAAACTGGATGAAGGCCAGAAGATGTTTATGAAGCACTCCATAATATCCTCTGGTCTATGTTCAAATAAATAATAAACTTCTTTATACATGGAATATCAGCTTTGAGCTGATTATTTGAATTACAAAAGTATATGTAACATAATATAAAGGTTTCACACATTGTTCCCATAAGACTTAATAGTCTCTCACTTTCGTATCCTTGTCCTTGTGTATACGAAAGCTATTCTTGAATGAAAAAAGTTCATTCAGGCGTGGAATTGTGTATGGACCTTCAAGCAATCCTCTTGCTATCTCATAGTAAGCAGACTCCGTTAAGTGAATTCCATCCCAACTAACATAGGTCGAAGGGTCACCACACACCGTTGATCCCTCTCGTCCACACCGAACAGAGAAATTATAATGATATGGACCTTCTCCACCACAACATGCACTTGTCGTACTTTTAAATCCTGTATAATTTAAACACTGCACTTAAGCAATACATAAAATAAAATTATGGCTTCAAAATATGTAAAGTAAGGTGGTGTTTGGGAATATAATTTTCTAATTTGGTCAGGTGTAGTCTAATCTAGGATTGAATCTAGTACAATTAAAAAAATCCGAAGTGGGATTTGAAAAAATTACCAAATTTGCTAGGTGCCCGATAAATTCTCATTGCTGCATTGTAATAATCGGCATAAATAATATTGGCATTTGGATGAAGTTGGCGAAGACGACCAAGTTCATCCTGAAGGAGCTGATTATGGTAACGAGAGAAGTCATTAAGCCAGTTAAGACATCCGGTTTTGGCATCATAATCCTTGTTATTAGTAGTTGAGAAATGAGTGAGGTAGGCTGCTGAACATCCAATGGGTAGATTTCCAGGAACAATCAGTGTTTGAGCTCCAAGTTCAACTAATTCCTGCGCAATCCATGTCAACCCGGCCAATTAAATAAGGGAAGAGAGGCATAATTAAAATCCAATTAAGTTAGGGATACCGTACCTATCATTCTCTTGATTGGTCCAAGTAGGTACATCATTTTTAATTTAGATTTAACTAATTCAACTGTAATATTCTGATTGGTCCATGTGGACAAAGGTATGGTACCTTTTGGATACCTAGAATCTACCTTTAAGTTATGGTAGATTCTATGGTACCCACAAGGTACCGTACCTTTGTCCACATGGAACAACCAGAATCATGCAGTTGAATTATTTAAATCTAAATTAAAAGGGATTTAATGATTTGGACCAATCAAATGCATGGTAGGTACAGTACCCCATTTTTTAAATGGGTATCGGAGTTGTCACCTTAAGTTATTTGCTTAGGTGAGAACTCCGGTACCCATTTAAAAAATGGGGGTACCGTACCTACCATTCACTTGATTGGCACATAGGTATATCAATTTTAATTTAGACTTAAATAATTCAACTGCAACATTCTGATTGGTCCATGTGGACAAAGGTACGGTACCTTTTGGGTACATAGAATCTACCATTTGCTTAATTGGTATGAATCGAATTTATCGGCTGGGAAAATATATACTCACATTAATAGCTGAGCTGATGACGTTAATAACATCAGGGACATATGCCATGACTTCTTTAGTAGGATGGTCTTGCATAAATGGAACATTGTAGTCATTTCCTCCTATTTCTCCCATTACAATAAGGGCATTTTGCATGCGGTCCTTGCAACCTATTAAAAGATTGCAAATTTTATAGTACTCTCTGGATGTATCATCATACTTTATTTATATGCATCAATTAGAATATTGAACTTCAATAACTTAAGCAATAAACATAAATAAATGATGAAATGATTACTCAAAGTATAAATAACTTGAAGGGTATCGTAGCACTAACCTTAAAAAAATGGCCGTTAATATTTTCTAACGTCCCCCCTCTAAAATTTTACTACCTCCGTAACTCTAGAATCTTCCCAATTTGACTCTTTTGGGTCAAACTTTATAAACTTTGACCATTAATTATTCAAAACTCACATTATGTTATGATTAAAAATTTATTTTATATACCTCATTGTAAAACATATTATTTGAATGTTAATTTATTATGAATTTTATAAATATAGATATGTAGATATTTAGAGTCAAAGTTCAACTTAGAAGACCGTGAAAAGTCAAAATGGGAAGATCTCTGTGTTACGGAGGTAGTATTTTCTTCTTCTGTTTTTTTTCTATTTTCTTTTACTTTCAGTGGATGCTTCTCGGGTCGATCTTTAATTAGTCAGCATACACTGCATACTGGTCTGTAACTTTGTAAGAGAGTCTTTGAGTATAATCTTTGATCGGGGGTCCATAATTATGAGGAAGAAATGACTCGAATTTGAAACTTCTTATTTTCAGTCGTTGGAATTTGGTCGGGGAAGTTGGTGTAGACAACCAGTGTAAAGAACTCTCCATATTTTACTGGAAAATGGACATTCCACATGAGTGTTGCTATTTATTTTCGGTTTCCATGTGGACATTCCACATGAGTGTTGCTACGTATGAGTGTTTGAAAATAAAAATAAAAGTACAGTAAATAGAAATACTTTGATGAAATCAAGCCCAACAATAGATGGTGTCTCCTTAATACAAATTTAACCATAAGATACGTAGCAATCATTTCCCGTGCTAGGATGTAACAGTTTAACGTTCCCAAAGGACACCTGCGAACTCGAAGATGCAGTATGTATTCTAATGGAGGACTAAAGGAAGAAGAGAGGTATGGTAAGTTATTCGTGAATGGATTTCGGATTACAATAACACAAGCAAGAAGGTGTATAAGTAGAGCTATGGCCATGAGACTATATTTCAAAAGACACTTTTAAAAGAAAAGTTGAGACATTTCTTCCCTAAATCAAAAAAACTTTCATTTCACAGAGTACAATATGCTAGGAATTAGTTCTATTAAGGGTCTGTTTGCAACTGTTTTTAAAAAAGTACTTCTCAACTTTTGTCTTTAAAAAAACACTTATTTTCCCAAAAACTACAACTTTTATTTTTCTCGGCTTCCGCGTCAAAAGTACTTTTACTTTTTCTATTACACAAAAAGCACTTATTTTACCAAACACTACCCACTTTTACTTTTCAAAATCACTTTTTTCTCAAACACTATCAACTTTTATTTAATCACTTCTCCCCATTTCATTAAAAAAATCACTTTTTTAAAAGCAGAAACTGTTGCAAACAGACCCTAAAACAAAGACGTAGGTCCCTTTCATATTTTAGCTTCATTATGACCAAAATAATTATTTGTATGATCATTTTTCCCACATCAATGCATGAGTAATTTAAAGGAATTGAAATGAATGTAAGGGATTCACATAAAATTGAAAGAAACCGATGAAATGGGCGATTATGAGCTCTAAGAGGAGAAAAGAGAGAGGTAAGGGAGAAAACGGCGGCGTGAGTAGAAATACGATCAAATGTATGCATAACCTAGTATATGTCTTTATAATCTTTAAAATTGAAGGCCCTTTTAAAATAAAATTAGAGGCCCTGATATTTAATTTAAAAATATAACGCCAATAATACAATAAAAAAACAAATTTTTATAAAATGCAATTCTACGCGATGAAGTAAACACCAATAGTATTAAATTTTCATTCAAATTTTTGAACTTAAACTACACTTATTTAAACTACACTTATTTATACGGAGTAATACTTTTAACAAAATTTTAAACGTATTTGACATCCTCTCAAAAAAAACGTATTTGACATTGGATAGATAATATATACGAATATGACATCTATTAGAATTTAGAAAAATTGTAAATGTTACGGAGTATTAGAATTTGAACTTAATCCTCTGTAATAGATATAATATTTGTTATAAATTTTATTTTTGATTATTAATTAGAGAGTAAGAACTAGCAAAATTTGTTTAACTCAAACAATTTATTACGGAAGGTATAAGTATGGTTAAAGAGAAGATCGATCAAACAGTACCATTCAGTCCGATGGTAGGTACTATGCTGGTTTGTGTGGAGAACCCAGGCCAGGACCGATCCCCCCCACTTCAAACTTTTTACTCTTTTCCGGACCTAATCGTGATTGGCCCAAGCAAAACACGCTTCACAAATAGCACCGGTTTGGGCCGCTGGCTAGAGTTACGTAGTATGTAGTATTTGTTAAAAAAATCTTATTGGGCCTAGGTATAATACAATGATATTAAAAATTGGAGGCCCTCTTAGGATTGGAGGCCCTGTGCAGGTGCTCCAATTGCACCAGGGCCAGGCCGGCTTTATATCCTAGCTAGCTATTGTGAATACAACTAAATTAAATGTTTATTACATGATTAATTAATCATAAAATGTATTAGGAGAGAAGAGAAGGAACTTTTATGGAGTAGATAATTAGATACATATAAATATATATCTTCCTTTAAATGTATAGAATTACTGTCAAGCTTAGAAAATAATTTCATGATTACAGTGAAGTCACACCAAAATATGATAATAATTACTCCTATTCAGATATTAAAAACGTGAGAATCCCATTCTGGAATTCACACACATTTTTTCTCCTATATAGGGCAATTTCAAAATAAAATGCATGAGAAATAGTTTTTTTATGCATGAAAAATAGTGAGTGCATTAAGAATTTCATGAATTATAAATGTTAGCAAGTTAGAATAAAACTCAAACAAAAAGTTCTCCACAATGGAGTGGGAACAACCAATAAAAATGACACAAATAAACCAATAAGAAAGATATTGATAGTTGTAAACCAAATTCTAGATGTTGTAAATTAAATATAAAATACCAATATCAAAAGTTATTTATAGCAACCTCAGTTATATTTTAGTATAATGTGTAGAAGATCATCATATATTTGAGATTCTCTCAAAATTAATTGAAAAAAAGAACTAATTAATCAACTTTCGAAAAACTAAAATCGACTGAAATTCAATTGAAGAGAAATTGTTAAAAAGTAGGGTAAGTTAAGAAGTAATAGAGTACGTGTTATATTAAAATCATGAACTACTCCTTCTAACGAGTCGACCTTTTAGGATGGAACCTCAGATCTTAACATGGTATCAGAGTCAAATTGATCCTTAACCATGCCATGGTGTGGGCCCCTGTGAGAAAAAGACGATGATTATAAAAAATGACAATGACAAACGACGACAAAAATGAATGACAGCACGATCAAGATGAATTGTCTGGTCGTGATGAGGGGTGTTAAAAAGTACCACACTGGTAGATTAAGAAGTATAATAGAGTGCTATATTAAAATCCTAGGCTACTCCTCCTAACAGGTTGACTTTTTAGGATGAAACCTCAGATCTTAACAGAAATCGATTTATCATTTACCAACAAAAAAAATCATTGAAAGAAGAAAGAAAAACCGATTGGACCTTGATCAATATAATCCCTTTTAAAGGAAACCCCGTAAACCCTGAAGTGAGAGCAACCATATATCATCACCTAATTCAACATCATATTATTCATCTTAATACCGAGAAGGGGAAGGAAGAAAAGTGTTTTAAGCATTGATTCGTTTGATATGAATGAGCTACGATATCGTGAAGGGTTGTTCTATATGACAAAGCAAGAAGATTGTGATGAGATGCATAGATTTTGTATGCAATTCGGTACGTGTCCGACTATTGAGTATTGAGAGGAGAGACAGGTGTATCAAAATAATACAGTTCGTATATCGTGGAACCCTCTCACGATGAGCACCGTACTCCTGCAATCAAAACGACACAGCTTTGCATTATTTTAATTAAAATTTTCGCGCATGAACAGTACCCGCGTGTACAGTAGTTTTTTTCTTTGTCCAAGTAACAGAGTGATGTAACTCACGTGTAAAGAAATGTAACTCACGTTATTAATCGATGTAACTCAAGTTTAGTCGAAATGTAACTTGTTCAATACATAGTATAAGAAATAAAACATTGATTTCAATTTAAATAATGGAAATAAGAGTCTAATTGCACAATTATTTTACAAAAACAGTATTGTATATGTTTTGTTTTTAGTATATCAAGGCTATAAAAATGATTTTTAATAAAATTAATTTTTCTTTGAGTAGCAGAGGCTTATTGAAGTGTGTAACTCGCATTATATTGTGGTGTAACTCGCATTATGAAAAATGTAAATCACGTGTAAGTGGATGTAACTTGTTGAAAAAAATTGACATGTAACTCACGCTTATAGATATGTAACTTTAAGCAAATCCAGATGTAACTTGAGCGTACGCAAAATGTAAATTGAGAAAGGTCTAAAAACTTCCAGTTGAGTTCTTAAAAGTTAATCTGTGCAAAATTCCAATGAGTTCTCAGTTTTTTTCTTTTTGAATAATCAATTCGAAGTGCACACAAAAATATCAGGCTCAGAAGTCTATGGGAACAGAGCATGGGTTGGATGGACTGCCGCGACAAGATTTACGCTTCAAATCAGCCATCAAGGCTAAGCGCCGCCGCTGCCGTGCCGCCGCCTCGAGGATGAGCAGTTGCATGGCCGCCTCTAGGATGAGCAGTTGCACCGCTGCTACTTTCTCTCCGGCGAGTGTCATGACCAACTTCCGATGCTCTCTCTCATGACGGAAGAGACGCAAGCTCTCTAATTTGGGGCAATAACAACGCGGAATGCTTTCTTTTTTAATTAATACGGAGTAATACTATGCCGTTTTGGGACCGGTGCACCGTTCTCATGATGCACCGATCCCACGGTATAATTTGCCAAAATAATACTATCGTATGTAGTCAATGATATATGAAGTACTACGTACTATATATCTAATACTAGTAGCAAAAGAAGGATATCTCAAATCCATTTAAAGAAATTGAAACGAATGCAATGGGCTTACAAACAATTGAAAAGAAACTGATGAAACAAAAGATTATTGGTACCAAGAAAGAAGAAAATTCAATAAGAAAAGAGAAAGGCAGGGGAGATAAAGATGCGTGAATGAGATTCTCCGTATAAATATTAACTTTTTTCATATTTATGTTTACTGTGATTGTCCTACCTAAATTTGTGACTCATTCTATCTCATCTAATGGCTTCTTCTATTATTTACATGGATTATGAAAGTCGAAAAAATTGTTAGAAGACCTCCAAAAGGACAAAACTTGGCCAATGCAATAATAAGCTCAAAGTTGTTAATTACCATCTTCAGAATAACATAATAATGATTGCAGTTAGTTACCCTACCATGTCCTTATATTACTCCATCCATTTCACAAAAATTGGCCAATGAAATAATAAGCTCAAAGTTGTATGGTTAAAATTTAATTTGTGCAAACTAGAGGAAAGAGATTTAAATTTAATCATATATTTATTACTTAAAATAGAATTTTTTTCGAAGCTTTTTTAGGCTTCTAAATAATGAAAATTGGCAAAATTTTGTAGGATGGAGTTAGTTCAATTAAAAGAATTTAATTCTTACTAAATTCATTTATAAAATTGGTACTCCCTCCGTCCCTAAATGTTGTTCCAATTGCGGATTACGAAGGTTGACCAACGATAAAGTTAAATGATCCCTGTGAAAACTCGGATTATTTTTAGTAAATAAAATTTACATATTCAGAAACTACATTAAACCCGCTACAAAGTCTGCAAAAAATAATTCAACTTTTATAGAATTTTGATATAAAAAGTAAGAGTTTAAGAGTGATTTAAGTTGATCCTCGATAAGCGATATGGAACTTCTTTTAGGGACAATAAACCAGCCAACCTTTGGGACCTGAAGCAGCCGCACCGGAATTTGGAGCAATTCTTGCAATATTGAGATAAAGAGTTTAGCAAATATTAAGAGCATCTACAAAAAACGGCGGCCATCTAGGTTTTATACCTAGTTTGTTTTCTACCGGCGGCGGCTATTCAGCCGTTTTTCTGTCCGAGGTTTGCTGTCTTTGGGAGTTTTGATTCCCTTCAACCAGTGACACACCTGGCTTTTTTCTCTTACCGATTTGGAGGCGAGACGGAGGGTGCGGCCGATTGAGTTCTCTGTTGGTGCGGCGCCGATTTCTTCTGTTGACGAGGGTTTTTGACTCCATGGCTTCGGACGGAAGCAGGGCATGGATAGGAGGGCTGCTGCAGCGGCTCAACAGCGGAGGGACGATACCGATAACAGCGGCTCAGCAGCCAGCAGGAGACCAACCACTGGAGGTCTGGCGCGTCGAAATGGAGCAACGGCGTTCGGGTTTGTAGGCGGGTCTTGCCCGCGTCAAATAGCATAGCAAAGGTCCGACCTCCTCCTGAACCACCATCAGGGAGCGAACGAGGTGCCCTGGGGTCAAGAATTTTATTTTGCTTATCTAGTTTTATTCATGTTTCGTTGTGTTTTGGATTTTTGTCTGTTTTGGTGTTGCTGTGCTACTCCAGCAATAATACTGTAGACCTTAGGATTGATGACGAGAGTTACCAAACACTGACATTAGGTGGGGGTGATGAGGTTCTGCTTTGGCCATGATAGGCTCATGTAGGGGTGATTTACCAAAACACGGGAGAATCACGTTGCCCTTGCCAAAACACGGGGATATTTCTAGGTTTTACCAAAAAACGAAAAAACGTAAGTCGGAACACCGAGTTCCGACCAGAAGCAGAGATTCGAAAAAAAAATCTCCCCCTCTAGTCGGATTAGCCAATTCCGACCAGGGTGTTTTTTTATTTTTATTTTTTTCAGTTTTTGATTTTGAGTTGGTTGTAAAAAGGTTTGGCTAAATTCCATACATACTCCGTATTTTTTAAAATGAAGTGTAGTACTTTGTGTTTCTTTGGAACCGTTCGTATATAATTTATCTGATTCTATTTTATCTTATTAAATTTTATCTGTCTATATTTTATCAGATTAATTTTATCAGATTATATTTTAATAAGTAGGTAGGACTGAAGCACTTTTGTGTTTAGTGAAATTATCTTATTAAATTTTATCTGATTAATTTTAGCTGATTATATTTATTTGATTAAATTTTATCTTATTATATTTTTCTCATTATATTTTATCTGATTATATTTATTTGATTAAATTTTATCTGATTATATTTTATCTGATAAGTTTTTCTAATTAAATTTATCTGATGGTGTGAACAAAAACTTCAGATACAATGAAAAAGAGAACAAATATTTCATTACTAATTGGATAATATCATTGACGTAATTAGCAATAGGCATAATATCAAAAGCGTACGTCCGGATGTACGCAGTTAACGAATAAACATCTGGGATGAGGCCGTCTACGGTTATTTTTAAAAACCGACAAACCGCATACGCGTGAACACATGGCAGCCCATTCTGCTTCCAATACCCAATGGGCTATCCGACAGGCAGTTTTTTTTCTATTTTTTTAACCTCCCTATCGGATTTGAGCATTCCGACATGCTACATTTTTTTTTAATATTATATATGGTTTGATTATCTATTAAATAACGTTAAAAACCATTTTTTCATTAATTAAAAATATAATTTTGGGGATCCCTTATATGACTTGGGGATGATCCACCTACATTTATTGATTACCGATATGAAGTTAAAAAATGTAACGTCATATAAAGTGTACATTTGACCCCGAAAGCTGTATTTCAATTCTCAAACTGTTTTTAGAGGTCATCCCAATATATCCCAAAAGTCCAATGTCGCAATTAAAAGAGAACAGAGGTAGTATTTTATTTTATCGGGTCAAATAAAATATAACACATGTTCTCAATCATTATTGAACCTTTATATTGTGGAATCCGACTCTCGTATATTGGTAACCTAATTCCATTTATCGTATTTTGGCTTGTATCGTAGTATATATAATTTAGCACATTCACCCACAATGTTAAGGCACCGGTTGATATGTTGGACCGATATGATTGGTGTGATGATCATTACTCTGCTTTGGGTTTTTCGGAATATCTTGCAAAATATTGAACTACCGAAGAAATCAATTGCGGTAATGCCTTTCAGCATATTGCAAATTATGAGCATCACATCAGCCGACCAAAGCACCATGTCATCGAGGCATTCAGTCTGGGTCGTCCGACTCTTCACCCGAGTTTATGACTGTACAAAATAGATACATTCATAAATTTCAATAATATTATATACTACAAAAAATAAATATATAAAATGAGAGCTTATGTAATTGAATGAGTTAAAAATTACTTAAACGTGTCATATTATAAAATGTGAACTTCTCTAATTAAATGACTTAAAAATTAGTAAAATAAATACTTCTAAATAACAATTTAATTTATAAAATATTTAATTTATAAAATTTCTTAAAAGAAAACAAAATATAGCTTAATTTATAAAATTTCATAAAAATTCTTAAAAAAACAAAAATTCTAAGAAAACAAAAATTCCTTGGTCGGATTTCTCATTTCCGACAAGGATAAAAAGCAAATTTTTTAAAAAATCGAACACCCCTAGTCGGATTACACAATTCCGACTAGGTAATTTATTTTATTATTACTACTGTTTTTTAATTCCTTCGGCTTTGACAAATAAATTAATGGAACATTAAAAAATTTCGAACACTCCCCTGGTCGGAAGTGCCTAATCCGACTGGAGGAGGGGTATTTTTTTAAAAAACCTAAATTCCTGTCG